TATCTGCGCATGTCTCAGACTTTTCTACCATTACCTATGATTAAGAATTCCCGACGGAATCCGGAACGTCAGGACAATAAATCTCGTGTTCCAGTGATCGCTTTTTTCTTCTTCTGAACTACCTCCTGGGACTCGCATATTCAATTCTATTGGCTCATTATTGTTTTTACTTTTATCTTCCGATGTAATTACGTTTCCAACGAAGATTTCCTTATGTCTCCGCCCCTTGCTTCTTTACTAGCTTACGCCATGGTTGTGGAGAACTGCCCCTTTCTTGCCGACCTAATTGTACGCTTTCCGGACTCTACACGTGAGGTCCTCGCGCCACAGAGGTCACAACACAATGAACTCATTACCTGGGCCTTTGAGTTTGCGCGTCAGTCTAAATTTCCCTCGGAAATCGATTTGAAGTTGCTCACACTTGCAGAACAGGAACTCAATCTCATTCCTCGACCGAAAAACTATCGCAATCCCTTTTCGGATGCCACGGTAAGCGCAGTTAATTGAGAACAAAACATGGAGCAGTCCTCTCTACTGTTCACCGTGTATAAGCCCAATCGTGATGAATGGTATTTTTGAGTCAAATTTGCATCGTTTGTGAGGCATAAGCGTTTCTTCGGGATGCAGACTATCTTGATGATAATTCCTTAGTTTCCGAACCCCTTGCCATAAGTACATATAGCTTGATAACTGATCCATTTCTTGTATCGGCAGCAAAACTGGGTTTAGTTGAGTCCCATTCCTGTCATTACTCCATTTTTTATATATTTACTTTTGGAAAAGGGTTGTTGCTGAAGCAAGGGAGATGTAAATACCCATTTCTGGCTATTTACCGATGTCAGCCATCCGTACCACAATGCCATCTGTCTTGCCAGAACGGGACTCTGGTGCGTTTCGCAGCTTCTGTGGGATACGAAGTAGTCTATCCAGGAATCTGAGATAAAAGTATCCCATCAGTTACAAACTAGTAACTAAAGGCAGCGTCTTATTCAAAATTGGATTAAGTTAATTATAAAGCATATTTGAGTAAAACAAAAAAACTGTCTAATGTTACTACACTTCTACCCAGAACCCGCGCACAAGCTGCTGCACAGCGACAAAAATTAGTTAATTGGAAGAAGCTTACGGACAGATGCAGGCGCGAGACTCGGATAGTATTGCCGACAATGTCAGCCACTCAGGTCCGCTGTAAGTATGGCTGACTGGTGACATTAAGCGAACTAGAACGTGGCGCCCCAATCTCCCCCGCCTTCGACGGCGAACCCTGTGTGCTTCGTCGCTGTTTGGTAGCAGGTCTAATTCTTGAGTAATCCATTTATCTCTTACAGAAACACCAACAACTTGCCGAGTTACGTGAGTTGGAGAGGCGTCAGGAAAAACAGGAATTGCGCAAGAAACTGCGGAGACCGAGACTAACACCGCGGGAAGACCTATAAGACTGCGCTCTGCACTCTTTCTAAGCGCCTTCTTATTTCTGTTTTTGGATTTCATAACGTGGTTCCGTCTTTCATACCATTCCAATCAACTTCACGCCATTTTTTTTCTTTTGCCGGCACACTCGGTGTAGACTAAAACAACGCTTTTCCAAGTTCTCCCTCATCCCCTTCCCCTTTTTTATTGGTTTTATAAGAGCGTTTGGTGAAGAGAAAACCGACTTTTGATTGTCTTGTCGTTTCTTGTTCTGTTTTGGATAATTCCTTTTATAAATTGGTTGTGAGTTTCAGTGATGGCATTGCACTGAAACTCTTAACAGAATTGAAGGTGAAAAATGACTACATGGAGATTCCAAGATTGTTTGGTCCTATTGCGCCGACTTGAATGAATATCATGTATGAAAAATGATATTTTGTGCTGTTGTTGTACGTCTTGCTCTTTTTTTCATTTTTAGGCTAAATCTTAATAGCTCAACCCTTTTTGGCTTTATCGGATGGAGCCTTGCATACAGTGCCTGAACTGTGGTTATACCACGAACGATGATTTGACAAGGCTACAAATTCGCATGTAAACCTCCATTTGCTGAGCTTGTTAAGGACCATTTTGCTTGATGCGTTGTTCTATTATACGTCCACGGAGGAAAGTAACGAGACACTGGATTAATTTTAACCCAGAAAGTGAGGCCGCGTTATCCGTAGTATTTTCATTTGCCTAGCGTTTTTGAGAGCTGCTTCGGGTCTTCAGGCTATGTCGAAAAATTTCCTTTGGCATAGGCTTTTCTTGTTGACGATGTCGCACAACTCGTATGCTCGCAGGGCTGGAACATAAAACTTTGGATGAATCCAAATTGAGGCAATCTTTTCGCCTGCTGACAAAGACCGTTCAACCACCCCTCTAGACGAGGTAAACTTTCGAAGCGGAACACTGACACATTTTAATAACCGATAAGTCTATACATCTCATGATACCGCCGCCAGTTTCAAATATCAACGAACTTCCGACTCGGATAAAGAATCTGTGTCCATCACTTGCGAAGAATGCTATCCAGGAGACCCACAGGTGTGGATAGTTTTACAGTCGTTAGAGTTCCACAGGTCGTTGGTCCCCTCCAACAAATCTTCGCTCCGAGTTATCGACTAACATCAGTATTTGCATTGTCTGAAAGGAATGTGCAGTTCGGCATGGTCTTCACCCATAGGACCTGGTGATAGATGGAATATGCTCCCTCTGTTTTACCTAATAACAATTATTACAACAATTTGCCAATACAAGCGAACATCCGTGTCCCAGGACGCAATTGAGAAGAAG